GTGGTGTGTGACATTTAAAAATCTTACATATGTGATTATTTTTCTAGAATATAGTGGCCCTTCACAAGTTATTTTTTAAATTATAGTAATGCAGATTGTAAATATATGTAAAAATAGGAACAAAACATTTTTATCCAGATAGCATAGACCTGAAAATGAGAAAGATTTGGAAGGTTTGACTCAGTTTTTTTTTTTTTTTCTTTCTTTTATGGTGCTGGGGATTGAACCTAGGGCCAAGTGTAAGCACTCTACCAGCTGAGCTATATCTCCAGGCCTCAGTTCTTCCTCTACATGTTGCTACTTTTGTCTGGGGTTCCCAGGGAGTTGTGGAGGACCCACCTGTGAATGGTACTGGAAGGACCTGGGGGCAGAAGGAAGACAGTGGGGATATTTAATCCTCATGCTTCAGCAGCATTTGGCTGTCTGCGAGTAGGTAAACCTGGAAGGCACACCTTCTTCTATACCTCTGAGTGATTTCGCTCTTATTAGGTTCTAACTAATAGCTAGACACTGACTCTAAAGGAATAGGGCTTGAGTTAGAGAGGGGAAGCAAGAGAAAGGTACAGTATCACTAGTGGCAGGTGCAGGGTGGACTCTGCAGTCCATTTGCTTGTCACTTAATAGATGTAAGATGCAAGGGAAGTAGAGATAGCCGTCAGAAGGACCAAAAGATAAATTTAGTCTAATGTTGGTCATAAGGTGAAGGCTTTGAGGGAAGAGATTCACATAGGACAGGTAGTTGTTTACTAAATTCCAGTGTAGGATGGTAAACAGCAAATCATCTTGGGTGCATTGCAGGAACTGATGATAATTCAAGTATACTTCAAGTCATAAGTTGTTATACTTATGTCTAGTTATGACCTTCTCAATAAGTGAGAATGGCCTATTTTTTAATGCTTTCATTATCATAACTTAGAATTAAGAGAATGCTAGCTTCATAAAATAAATTGAGAAGTGTTTGACCTTTTTCTGTGAATCGTTTTTGGTAACAGGTTATATTTGTTCCTAGAAGGTGAGTTCAAACTCACTTCCAAAATAATTTTTTTCTTATTTTTAATTTTATGTTTTTATAATTCCATTATATCTGTGATGCATTATTGTTTCTTAAAGGTTACTTTTAGAAATTTATAGGGAAGTAGAAGTGTATCCATTCCCTCTATATTTGCAACTTTATTGCATAGAATTAAGCATAGCATCTTTTCAAGCAGTAATTCTATAGAAAATATTAGCAAATTAAACCTAGGATAATTTAATATTAGATAATACATCACTATAATTTAGGATATTAATTAAAGGAAAAATACATGATTATTTTAGATTTTAAGAAGAAAATCTTCTGAAAAGAATATTTAAGCTGGCACAAGTCTGTGATCCCAGCTACTTGGGAGTCTGAGGCAGAAGAATCTTGGGCAACTTAGCAAGATCCTATCTCAAAAAAAGAGAAAGAAAGAAAAGAAGGGACTGGGGATGTGGTAGAGTACTTGCCTAGCATGCCCAAGACCTTAGGTTCCAACCTCAGCACTCACCCCCCAGCTGTTAATTAATAAAAATGTTAAGTAAAATAGGAATAGAAGGAAACTACCTAAACACTCTAAAGACTACCAAAATACAGCTAAAAATTAACTTATTAAAATACAAAGTACTGAAAACTGTCACCACAAGAATCAGAGACAATATCAAAATTACTGCTATTACAACTTTTTTTTATAGCTTGATTGTATCACTTTGAACTAATAATATAAGGCTAAAATCTTTCAAGAGATTCACCTTGAAAGATGGATTAGCACTAGTAAGAAAATATGGATAAAGTATAACTTGACTGGGTACAAAGAAATCAATAACTTTTTTTGTATTTTGCATGAACAGTGAAGAATTGAAGTAAACCAGAATGAACATGAACAGAATGCATTTTCCTCTTCTGTATTTTGAATATTTGTTTTAGTATGATTTAAAAATTTGGGGCTTTTCATTTTTTGAATGCTCAATAAAAAGGTGTATGGTAGGTCAGTTTTGAAAGAATTTTAAGAGGACTGAGTGAGATAAAATTCATTAAAAAGTTTTGGAGCTGAGCATGGTGGCACATACTTGTAATCCCAGTGGCTCAGGAGACTGAGATAAGAGGATCTTTAGTTCAAAGCCAGCCTCAGCAAAAAGCGAGGTGCTAAACAATTCAGTTGAGACCCTGTCTCTAAAATACAAAAAGTAGGGCTGAGGATGTCGCTCAGTGGTCTAGTGCCTCTGAGTTCAATCCCTGGCGCACCCCTCGCCCCAAAAATAAGTTTTAGAAAATTACCAGGTAATTTTACCTGCCTGTATAATATATGAAGTGAAAAGCAGTGAAGGAAGAGGTCAGCACCTGCAGCTTCTAAGGGACTTGTCATAAGAAGTAATCCTGTTCAAAACTGAATTTTCAGGTACCCACCTAAATATCGTGGGCTGACGACATGTTCTTCCTTCTTTTTTAAAGGTTGCCACAATCATACAGGAGGCACAATAGATGCTAACTCAGGAACAGTAGAAGATAAGATATGATGGCATAAGATAACAGTAGAGAAAATCTAGAGAAAAGATTTTAGCAGTATTTTGTAAACCATAAGGGAATGAAGGAGTTGGTAAGAGAGTTCACAGAGGAGGATAGAAATTAACTCCCTACAGGAGTCAACAAAGAGGAAGGAGCTAGAGTGCTGGCTTGCCCCAGGGTGTCTTGAGAGGCTTCCACTTGCTTGGACATGCCAGGTATTCCCAAAGGCAGCAGCTTAAAATGGGAACTCCTTAAATGTCTCATTCAGATTTTTTTTGGACCATAATGTTCTCTACCCTTTGCAGAAAAGGGACTGCTTCAGTCTCCTTTTTTTTCTGGGGAGGTGGGAAATATGCTGGAATCAGAGAAGCTCCAGGATAGAGGTGTGAAGCAAGAGGCTGACATCTGCACTCTGTAGTGTAGGAGCCTCACCTTCTCTCTCCCCAGGCCAGCATTTAGATGATGCTGTACTCTTCTCATCCCACCCAACACTTTTTCTGGCAAAGGCAGGCTGCTTCAGTGAATACTAGCATTATGAGGTCTCCCAGTGAAAAGGCAACTCTGTGCCCCTGGTCATCCTTTGGAGCAGTCCATCAGTCAACATGCCTTCCTCCTGAACCAAGCATCTGAGTTAGTGCCTCACTCTAAAAATGAAGGACTGTCCAGTTGTTGGAGGGGAAAGGAGGAGGCATGGGGTTATAAGTAATGGTGGCATGTGATTATCATTATTATCCAAAGTACATGTATAAAGACACGAGTTGGGGGGAATATACTTTGTATACAACCAGATATATGAAAAATTGTGCTCTATATGTGTAATAAGAATTATGATGCATTCTGCTGTCATATGTAAATAAAAAATGAAGGAGCATCCAAGGATCATTGGATTGTGATGAAATCCTCAAAAGTGAAGGACACCTAATCAGTTAGCCTGCCAACAAACAAAAAAGGAACTTGGAGGAAATGAATGATTCACGAAATGAATGAAAACTAAAAAACAAAATGAACCAAAGAATCAGTTAAAATTTTTAAAAATAGAGAAAGTACTAGGAATAGAGTCAAGAATGAGAAGATGCTTTTGGAAATTTGAAAGTATAATAGTGGGGAGAAATTTCATGAACATATTGAAAATTGAAATCAAAGTATATTGGTGCATGTGATTCTCATGTTTTTAGATTTAAATTTACCTAAAATTTTTTAATCTGAGTATTTGGTAGTCTTTTTTTCAACTGTGCATTTACTATGTTAAACTAAAGTGTAAGGAAAAAATATTCATTAAATCTGCATTTTTTTAAGTTAGGAAAGTGGACTGTCTTTGTTTCATATCTCTGTTCATGATTAATAATGTCTAATGGAAAGTTTTGGATCATTAGATACGTGTTTGTATTCTGAGCAAACATTCGTGGAGTATGTATTGTTTACTCCTTTCTCATAATCTTTGAACAGCAATTCAGAGAATGTTTTTCGTAGGTGAAACAGGCTGTGAAGTTAATTGCCTTTGCTCAAATCCCAGCACTGTCACCAAATGTATGGTATTGCTGTAATTACTTCTATGTTAATCAGCTTTGTGTCACTGTGACCAAACTACCTGACAAGAATAACTTAGAAAAGGGGATATTTATTTTGGCTCACAGCTCCAGAGATTCAGTCCATATTCAGCCAAGTTCATTCCCCTGGGCCCAAAGTGAAGCAGAACATCCTGGTGGAAGTGTATGGTGGAGGGAAGTTGCTCCACTCTGTGGCAGTCAGGAAGTAGAGAGAGGACACAGGGAAAATGAGACCCTTCCAAGTGACACCTCCAACCATGCCCCTTCTGCCTACGGTTACCACCCAATCAGTCCATTCAAATTAGGATGGACTGATTGATTATGTTATAGCTCTCATAATCCAACCACTTAATCTTCAAATATTCCTGCATTAACACAGGAGCTTTTAGGGGACTCTTCATATACAAACCATAACAACTTTCCTTTCTTGTTCTCATTTTCCTCATCTGTAATATGGGGATGGTGGTAATAGTACCTGTCTCACAGAGTTGGGATGACAGTGAGTGGAGCATAAGACCTATAAAACACCTACTACAATGTACAATTTACAACAAGTGCTCAATATTAAGGTACTGTAACCATCAAACTGATGGAGTGGTGTATCCAGACAGTTGAGGGGAGAAAAAGAAAACCTAAAAAGTAACATTTATAGCACTAATGATACAATAGGCTGTCCTATGGTAATGGTATTACTCGCCTCTGATAGCTTCAAGTTGCCAGTCTCACTAGGCATTCCTGTGTCTATCACTATATCTGACACTGAGTCTATTCAGAGAATAAAAGGATGAAACCCTTTCATTGTAACTTTGATTTGTAGAGCCATACTCCAGTTCTAGTGTTGTCTTCTGATAAAGACCATGAATTAGTGTGTTTATAATTAAGTATACAGGAGTGAATTTTTCATAAACGTAACTGTTGCATTTCAATTACAGGCCCCAATTAGCAAGGCAAAAGTAACAGAACCATGGCTCAGTTTCCAACACCTTTTGGTGGTAAGTTTTTGGAAATTTCTCTTTTTTAATGTACTTCAGGGCCAGATTTTAAAAACTTACTATCTATAATAGAAGATTTCAGAAAAAAAAAAAAAGTAGAATGAATTGGCCAGCTCTTGTCTAGCATGTGTGAGGCCCTGGGTTCAATTCCCCAGTGCTGCTAAAGGATAAAAAGGGGAGGGGGGACAAAATTAGAGTGAATAATAAGTCAGACCTCATGTACTCCATCATATGGCTTCCATAATTATCAACTCATGGCCAATATTGTTTCATCTGGATTCTTTTGTAGCAACTCCCAGGCATCATTTTATTTCCTCCATAAATATTTTAGGATGTTTATCTAGAAAATAACATTTTTAAGACATAACTATTATACCATTATCAAACTTATAAAAATTTATATACTACATTGTCATATCTATAAAATTTATAATTACTTTCCCTAATAGTCTTGATATTTTTTTTGCTAAGGTTGTTTTTCAAATTTGGATTCAAATAAAGTTCCTGTGTTGCAGGGTAGTTCATCTGTCTCCTAAGTCTCTTGGTTTGTGAACTCTTCCCTCTATCCCTGTTTTTTCTTTTCAATTTATTTGGTGAAGTGTCTGGATCATTTATTCTCTACTTTTTCAAAGCCTGAATTTGAAGTGTGATATTTTTACTTATTTTACTTTAGTTTATCTATTTGAAACATAACAATCTGCATAAAATATGTTTTCAGGTAATTTTTCCTGACCTTATTAGGAAATTGTTAAATGCTATATATATATATATTTTTGGTCCTGGAAATTGAACCCATGGCCTTACACATTTACCTATTTCTTAGTTTTTCACTATAACATTTAAGGCACCTGGCGGTGCAATTTTAAGTTTTAATTAATCTGTTGGTTAGATATATGTAAATAAATTATGAATTTACTATCTTCATATAATCCTGACTATAGGGTTATAGACAAGCTTCTAAAAAAGGAATTTGTGGTGGCTATGGTTTGTAGCTCAGTGGTAGAGCACTTGTCTAGCATGTGTGAGGCACTGGGTTTAATTCTCGGTTCCACATAAAAATAAAAAAGGTATTGTGTCTATCTACAACTAAAAAAATTGAATTATGCCAATTTGGTTTTGGTTCTGCTTTCCTTATATTTTCTAACTTTGTATACATTCCTTCCAAAGACAAGCAGATTTTGTTTTATCAAACCATTTATTACACATTGATAGAACCTGGAAGTGCTGTGGATTGTGTGGGTGTGAAAGTGCTATGGATTGTGTGTGTGTGAGCACCTTGTTTTTCTCACTGAATAACTTATCTTTTATTTGGCCTGTAGGCAGCCTGGATATCTGGGCCATAACTGTTGAGGAAAGAGCGAAGCATGATCAGCAGTTCCATAGTTTAAAGCCGATATCTGGATTTATTACTGGTAATGGGAGTTACTATTTTCATAGTCTTACTTAACATTAGTGCATATATTTCTAGAAATCTATTATGTACATATAACCAGAGGTTGACACATATAACCAAGGAGACAGTTGACTTGTTTTGCTATTAACCGTGAGCCTGTAATTTATGATTGCTTTTCTCTTATCCATTCAAACTTTGTTTGTATTCTTTGTGCATATCAAGCCACTTACTTGTCTGGGGCATATCACTGATGGCAACTGGTTACCTTCAAAGGGCCAGGTTGTTTTCTTTAAGTAAGGGAGGGGTAGACTGTGGCTCTAAAGCTAAAACACTTGCTCAGTTTTGGTCCTGAGCTGGTTTGGGAAATTGTTAACAGATTCTGAACATTATTTAAAAGGGACTTTTCCTATCTCTCTAAAGTTCCTTTCATATGTTGCCTTTTCTGCTGTCTTTCCTGTTTGATTACTCTTCAGGAGTTCACTTTAGGAAAAATGGGTTATGGATTTCCTGGGGAAATATTTGTGCTTGTGTTTATATCATAGCTCTCCCTAATTTATTTTCATAATCAATGTAATTGTTTTATGTTTTCCATAAATATATAAGAAGTACCCCAAATTTGGAGCATTAGGTATTGAGAGTTGCAAAGAATGTTTTATAAAGTAGAAATATCTGGGCTGGGGTTATGGCTCGTGGAGGAACACTTGCCTAGCACGAATGAGACTCTGGGTTTGATCCCCAGCACCAAATAAAAAATCTAAATGAACAAAATAAATGTATTGTGTCCATCTACAACTAAAAATGCAAATAAATAAATAAATAAATAAAGTAGAAGAATGGCTCATCAGTTGTTTCCTAAGGATTCCTGTAGATCTGTAGATGTGCTTTGTCATTGTGCTAGTTAGCTTTCCATTATTTGTAACAAAATATCTGAGATAATCAACTTAAGAAAAGGTTTATTTGGCTCATATTTTTTGGAGATTTCATTCTGTGACTGAGTAGCACTGTTGATTTGGGCCAATAGTGACACTGTACATTATGGTGAAAGTGTTTGGTAGAAGAAACCTGTTCACCTCAGGGCCTGCTACAAAAGAAAGGAAGAGAAAAGGGCTGAGTCCCTTTATCCCATTTGGGGGCACACCCCTGATGATCTGAGACCTCCCACTTGGCCAAACCTCTTAAAAGGTTCCAACCCCCCTTTTCCCCAGGACCAACCTGATGACTAAGCCTTTAACACATTGGCTTATGGGGGACATTCGGTATCCAGTCTAGAGTATTCACAAGGGGTAGCTAACTTCTTAGTAGCATATTAAAGTGGACAACCTATCCCAGCAAATAGTTTGCCGTTTCTGAGATGATTTTTTCAGAGCCTTCAGGTTTTGGGTTAGTGCTGATGGTTTCATTCTACTGTTGCTTATAGGTTCACGATTTGGCTTTTATCATATGTTCAATTCAATATTTATAGGATTATCACTCTTATTTTTGTGATTTTTTTTGCTAGGAGTGGAATTCCAGCAACTTTTGTTTTTCTGAAACTTTTTTCACTTAATTTACAGGTGATCAAGCAAGGAACTTTTTTTTTCAATCTGGATTACCTCAGCCTGTTTTAGCACAGATATGGTAAGTTGCAATTTTGCATAGCAGAATGTAAAAGACAGTATTGTCCAATTCGGTTTATTTGTTTGGTATTTTGGTTTCTTATTCTATGTAGAAGGACTGAAACAATCTTATTTCTTAACAGAGAAATTCTTCTCAAAAGTATCTTTCTGATTTAGAAGTTTAAAAAGGAGGTGACATTTAAATGATGGCACTGCTGTGTTAAAAAGTCAAACTTCCACTTGAAACTTTGAAATTTTGATATTTTTTTCCTAATTATTTTGGCCAGTTTTTTTTCTGACCTTCTGCTAAATAAATTTTGTGATGACTTTTTTTTTTTTTACTTTTATTAATAGCTCTTGTTAGGAAAAAGAAAAAAAATAATATCTGTAGGAATCTGTTCCAAAAAGAAATATCTTTTTTTTAACTTTTTAAAACTTTTAAAAACTTTTTTAAAATTCTGATTTGTTATATATGTCAGCAGAATGCATTTCAATTCATAGTATACATACAGAGCACAATTTTTCTTGTCCCATTTGTACACAAAGTAGAGTCACACCATTTGTGTCTTCATACATGTACTGGGGTAATGATATCCATCTCATTCCACATCTTTCCTGTCCCCCTGCCCCCACCCTTCCCCGCCCTCCCCTTTGCCCTATGTAAAGTTCCTCCATTCCTCCCTTCCCCCCCCCATCCCCTATGGATCAGCATCCCCATATCAGAGAAAACATTTGGCATTTGGTTCCAAAAGAAATATCTTTGAAAAGTAATATGAAATTTCTGAACTAAAGATGTGCTAAGGCAATGGAACAAGACCTGTCTTCCAACCCTGATTCTTATACTTATTTAGTTTCTAAACCTTGGATATAACTTGACTTCTTTAAGACTAAGTTTTAAAAATTATAGATAATAATAGCTGCTCGAGCAAAACACCTCTTTATACTAATCTTATTCTTATGTGGTTTTTCTGGGAGAGTTCCAGAGTTGGCCTTGTTCCTTTTGGTAGAGAGGGATGGGAAGGACTCTGAAGTTTTAGGCAGTCCCTGTGTCATTCCCTGGGGAATAACAGAATTTTGCATTGAGAATTGAGAACTGTTAATGTGGCCCTCCCCCACAGCTTCAGAAACCTTTCCTGGCTCTGTACTTGTTTCAAATACATGAGGGGTATTGATTGATGAGCAGTATGTGTTAGAAGCCTTTATAATGTTTTGTTACCATGTGGAAACTACATTCCAGTTAGCTTCTCAACTTTAAACTGTAAAACATTCATATTTTGAGGACTTCTTATCTCTGTAACCTGATTTCTTCTGAAAATTATAGAAACCTGAATTCTCAGAACATGAGGTTTGGTCATTGTGTGTATTGCCAAATTATAATAGTGTCCAAAGATGACACATCTTCCTAGAAATTACCTTACTAATAAGGAACTGGAAGGAAACTGGCAAATGTCCTTTTGGCAACTGAAATGCTTAGAATTATTTCAGCCTTGACCTAGTATGTACAGGAAGGGGAGAAAGTAGAACAGATAGACAAGAACCAGAGGTATAGGAAAGAAAAAAGAAGTATGGGCAAAGAGGTTGGGTGAGGACTTAGAAATCTGAGATAATAGGTTCCTATGAAATGGAGAGAAATGAAGGGGAGGGAGGAGTGCCACATGGAAATGGGCCACGAGAGAAAAGGTGGGATCCAGATGCATAAGGGCCAATGATTATACAGGCTAGTGATCTGGTTTGAGAATGGGGGTGGGGCAGGGTAAATGCCATAGAATTTATAGGATACTTTCATGTCAGAAGGGCTTCACCCATCAAGATCAGTTTGCTAAACTCATCTCTTAGGGATTAGGAAAGTTACTCTTGACTCTTAATCTCATCTCTCCCACCCCTTGCTCTCTACTCTTCACCATAGCAGTTCATGCCATTGAGAGTCATCATCCAGATGCTGAAACCTTAACATGGGAGCCATATCTGATTCCTCTTTTCATCCTGCATATCAGTTCATCAGCGTGTTCTGACTTCATTGGTAGACTTTAACCCCAGTCTGACCACTTCTATCTCTCTTTGCTGCTGTCATCTCACCTGGGCCCACTGATAGAGTACCTAGGCTGGATTCTCTTTCACATTTGCCCTTTGAGATTCCATTCTCCAATAATTCTTTTTAAGAAGTAAATCCAATTACAGCTCTCCATTGAGAATGAGATCCAGTCATTACCAAGGCTACAAATGCTAATAGAATTCTGGCTTTTTCTTCCTTGATTCCTTTTCTCCAGGAACTGACCTTCTTTTTTCATTTTTATTTTTTAAAGATAGAGAAAAGAGAGAGAGAGAGAATTTTTTTAATATTTATTTTTCAGTTTTCGGTGGACACAATATCTTTATTTTATTTTATGTTGTGCTGAGGATCGAACCCAGCACCCTGGGCATGCCAGGCGAGCGCGTTACTGCTTGAGCCACATCCCCAACCCTGACTTTCTATTTTTAATTGCTACAGATTTCTCCTTACTTCAGGATCATTGCACTTGGTATCTCTTATTCTTTAATCTAGTTCTGTTACCATTTAGGCTTCAGTTTGTCACCATCCAGAGAGGTGTTCCCTGACCAACTAGTCTAAAGTGGTTCCCTCTGTTTACCTGTTCCTCTCTCCCTTCTTGTCTTTCCCATTACTTAATAAAAGTGATCACCATGAAGACTAATCTGATTTGTTCTCTTGTTTACTGCCTGCTTACATCAAAGTATAAACTCTGTGAGAGGAGGGAACTTTCTACTTTTTTCACCATTTAAACTCCAGTTTCTTCATAGTGCCTAGACCTTTGTAGCCACCTCATTCATAGAAGCTTTTTGAATGAATAAATGACTAAGGTGGGTTAATATACATTATTGCTTGGCCTTAAATTTTAGCTTGATAGGCACCACCTAGGAGATAAGTAGCCTGTGACAAGTCTGTGTGGAAGAGACTTCTCCTGCTCTGTGGTGGTACATGAGATGGTGTAGGAAGTCTGGCCTCTTTCCTTAATCCTATAATATATGCAAAGACTTTCCAAATTGCCATACTTATGTAGTACAAACAACAAATCTTTAAGTAGAGTTCAAGACTGCTTTGTATTTCTTTCTATTTTTAAAATAAGAACATAATAAAGTATTATATTGACAAGTTACTTGGGTTCACTTTTCTTTCTCATTCCTGTGAGGTTAATATGTTGTTTACTTAAAATACTCTTAGGTGTCCCTTCTCATGTTACTTTTTGAATACATAATGCATTACCAAGGTTCTAAAAGCCAAGAGTGTGCAAAGAGATATATCAGAGTAGGCTATTCATTTTCTTGCTTTTCTGTTCCTTCATTCTCTTCTCCCACTGATTTTATTAGGATTGTGTGTGTGTGTGTGTGTGTGTGTGTGTGTGTGTGTGTAAAAAACAGGCCCAATATGTGTAATGTATATGTGAATATATTTATATTATTTCCTTTTTTTCTTACATTAAAGATAACCTAGAAATGCTTTTTTGTTATTTGCTTTTCACACTTAATAGCATATCCTGTAAACTGTTCATATCATTTCCATGGAGATCTTTCTCATTTTCAATTTCCATAGTACTCATTGTGGAGGATGTACTATAATTTATTCAACCAGTGTTTTATGCTTGTGCATTTAGGTTATTTCCAATATTTTGCAATTACAGATAATGCAGCAATGAATGAGCTTATATATCTATGTTTTGTTTTTCTGGAAATGTATCTTCAGAGTAAATTTCTAGGTATGCAATTGCTGGGTCAAAGAGTAAACGCTTACATAGTTTTCCTTCCATTTGAAGTTATAGCACTTTCCCCCTGGACACTGTATAAGAGTGATGTATGGTTTAGAGGTACAAATCAATTAAAAAAGCTTGCCCTTGGTATCCGACATAATCAATCCTACTTATTGTTGTGTACAACTGTTAATATCAGGCTAAACACTGTATTCACAGTAGGTTTGTTTCAAGAGTCATGTATGACAGTTATTTACTCTTTTTATCAAATATTTTTATTTTGGAAGTTTTGTGGATTTAATTTCAGTATTGGTAGACCTTAGTCTTTGGGATAATCTGTAAAAACAAGTTAACTGGAGAAATAACTATTAAATGGGAGATGAAAAGTATAGCAGTGCTGAAGTTTTTGCAAAGGAGCCTTGAGAAATAAAATGCCAACCCTATCCCAGTGTACTGGAAGAAGGGGAAGGAAGGGAGGAAAGCTGAGCTTTGTAAGAATAACTTTATTGCCATAAATTTCTTTTGAGTTTTCTATTTATTATCAAGGAGTCTTAACAATTATGTTTTGCTAATTGTGAAAAACAATTATGAGAACCACAAGGCTGCCAACTAAATATTGGAATTATGGTAGGTGTGTAAACATAATCCCTAGAATCTGAGGATTACAAACTGCTGTTTCTTGCCCATGAAGGCACTGTGGTAGGAAAGATTTTTGAAACCCTAAATTATTCTAATTAAGCCATTACTAGAAATCTCTTCTCTCCTAACCCACTCATTATCCCATGTTAGATATTTCCTTTTTTTTTTTTTAATAAGAAAATACATTTTCTGAGATCTCAATGTGGGAAATAGAGGATGCATCTGCTTGATTTATTTATTTAAAAATAAATACTAAAGTTTGTATGCTAATGTTTATTTCATTAATAACTCACTCACCCCCAAAAATTGAAATAGATGATTATCTTTTAAAAAATATTTAGCAGGGGCTGGGGTTGTGGCTCAGTGTTAGAGACTTGCCTAGCATGCATGAGGCACTGGGTTCAATCCTCAGAACCACATAAAAATAGAATAAATATATTGTATCCACCTAAAAATAAAAAAAATAATTTTTAAATAAAAGTACATTTTAAAAAATATTTAGCAAAGGAAATAAATGTCATTTCATTTTATTGTCCTAACTCCTCTTCATTTTATTTTATTTGCAGTACTGAGGATTGAACTCAAGGGTGCTTTACCACAGAGCTACATCTCCAGCCCTTTTATTTTCACTTTGAGACAGGGTCTCAATAAGTTGCCCAGATTGTCCTTGAACTTGTAACCCTCTTGGCTCAGCCTCCTGAGTTGCTGGAAATACCAGTTACACCACTGCACCCAGCTACCTCACTTTCCTTTATAATGTCTAAAAGATGGTACAAAAATAAAGCATATCAGGACCAGTTTCAGTTATGAATATAGATAAAAAATCATAACTCATCATATGTATGAAAAGAATAATGTACTCTGACCAACTTGAACTTATGCCAATAGTATAAGATTGGTTTAAAACCAAGACATTCATTCTGTCACTGTTAGTCTTTATGTCAACAGATAAAAGGAAAAAGAAAACTTGTAATCATATCAGTAGATGCAGGTTAGGCCTTTAATAAAAAATGCAGCCAACTTTTCTAATAAGTGGGGCTACTTAAATATGTCAGACTGTTTTCCCAGAATCACTACCAGATATCATTCTAAACAGTAAAATACTGAAGCTATTTTCATTTAAACTCAAAACTAAGCAGGAAGGCATTCATTTAATCTTAGTAGGAATAAGATCTATACAAGAGGGTTGGCATAAATACTGGAATTTTACTAAACGTATGAAATTTTAATTTAAAAAATAAGATTTCATAGAAATTTTGTAAGATAGTTAATTATAGCATAAATAATTTTTAAAATTTAAAATCTCTTAATGCTTGAAATATGTACCTAAAAATGGAAGTAGGGGAAATATTCCACTTAAAATTCTGGCAAAAACTATGAAGTTCCTTAGACTACATTTATCAATACAAGTTTATTATTTATATGAAGAACATGTGATAATTTTATTAAAGGAAATAAAAACTGAAGGAACTGAAACAGCATATTCTTGGGTGGCAAATTATTACATATGTATTTAGAAATATCTCTAAAAATTATATAAATCTAGTATCATTTTTAAATCCTAGTAGGGTTGTGTGTAGAATAGAGAATATGGTCTTAAAGTTCATACGGCAAAATAAATATCCATGAATAGCCAAGAGAAAAAATTTTAAAAGAGAGAAAGCCTTGTAAGATAGCAGAATGTATTAAGAGCTAATGTGATCAGATCACCATCATGTGACCTGGGATTGTTTGGTCAAAAGAGGTAGTGCAGAAGTAGGCCCTTACTTCATATGAATATTCAGTGCATGACAAAAGCATATTTAAATTCAGTAAGGAGGAATTAGTTAATAAGTATAACTAGAAAAGTTAAATACTCATTTAGAACAAATATCTAGGGTTTTCTTGGGATAGCAACACACACACACACACACACACACGCCCTCATCACACATAAAATTGTAGTTGGTTTAAAGACTGAAATATAATAAAATAATGTAATTGTAGCCAGTTGGGGCAACATCCAAATAATGGCCCCAAAGAAAAAATTAATATTGGGGGAGAAAAAAATTTTAAAAAATTTTATCACTTTTACTGTGTGTTGTAGGCCATACTTCTGCTCCCCCTAGCCTTTCTTCTCCCCCAATATTGGGGCAGGATATAGCCGAGTTGTCCAGGCTGTTCTCAGGCTGATCCTTCTACTTCTGACTTAGAGCAGCTGGAACAATAGGCATGTAGCATTTGTACCGTTTGTATAATTTAATTTTTTCTTTGGGGCCATTATTTGGATGTTGCTCAATTTAAAAGAATGGTAGTCATGGCATTTGAATTGGACTAGCTGTCTACTTACATTTCAAATAAAATTTTTGATAAGATTACTTTAATAATTCTCACACTTATACTATCTGGATTAAAAGAAATGAAATTTAAATGACTGTGTTTTATTAAGTGAATAATATGCATGGTTATTGTTGTGTAATGCAGTTTCCAATTGCAAATATAAATTCTTTAATTTAATATTCTTTGAGAGAAAATACTTTACTTTAAAAGCTCGACACAAGTTGAAGTTGGACCACATATGTTTGAGTGTCATTTTCAAATAGCAAACATACTCATAAACCCAGTTTCTTTGTTGAGTGTACAAAATAGGATTCTAAAGAAAAATTGATTATTAAGACTTAAAAACTTAAGAAGTATAGTAGCAATATAGTATAGTATACCATAATATAGCCAAGGATAGTATACCATACCATGACAGCTCCCCAGGTGGAAATTTGTAGAACCCCATAGAGTTAGTGTCATTATCCAGTGTCTTGAAAAATAATAGTCTCTAGTTTGTTCTGGCTCTCTCTTTTGTTACTGGGGATTGAACACAGGGGTGCATAGCCATTGAGCTACATTCCCAGCTCTTTTTATTTTTTATTTTGAGACAAGGGTTTGCTAAATTGCTTAGGGCCTTGCTAAGTTTCTGAGCTGGCTTTGAATGTGTGGTCCTCCTGCCTCAGCCTCCCAAGATGCTGGGATTATGGGCATGCATCACTGTGCCCAGCTCTATATGCTTTAATTGCAACATAGTTAACATAATAAAATTCACCTTTTTATACTGTATAATTCAGTGGTTTGTAGTATATTCACAGTTCTATAACCATCACCACTATCTAATTTTAGGACATTTTCATCAAAATGAAGCCACTTTAAGGTAAGGCTATATGATATATTATAGAGGTAAAGAGTACCAAAGTACAAGACATTCTGTATTCATGGAAAGCTTTGTCAGCATTTGTATGTTCTTCCCCATAATGTGGTAAACAAGTTTTGTTTTCCTTTAATCTCCTTATGGTAAGGGACCGAATTATTTTGTGTTTTTGTCAGTGCAAGTGGGGGTTGGGAAGGTTCTTTTATGGTCACAGTAGTTCTGAGTCTATGCTGCTCATTTTCAGGGCACTAGCTGACATGAATAATGATGGAAGAATGGATCAAGTGGAGTTTTCCATAGCTATGAAGCTTATCAAACTGAAGCTTCAAGGATATCAGCTCCCCTCTGCACTTCCCCCTGTGATGAAACAGCAGCCAGTTGCTATTTCTAGTGCACCAGCATTTGGTAAGTCTGAAAATGAATTTGTCCCTATATTTCATTGTGTATTTTAAAAATAGATACTCCCTCCTCTTGAGTTTGTAACGTGATGAAATTATTGGGGGTTTTTCTGTCTGAAAACTGAAGGCTCTTTGCAGGAAGACAGTGCTGAGGGGAAGAACCATGTATACAACTGAACTCTAAGATGAAGCCACCACTATGAGAGCAAAGGCACAGATTGCTGGTGGGGTGAAGGACAGAAACCTGCAGTCTGCTGTTGCTTGGTCTTTCTTCTTCTGGCTTTTCATATTGACCTTACCTATTGTTACATACTTAATTTTTGTTTTCTGTTCCCAGAATTAATGTACATAAACAATTCCTTTTAATTATGCTATCTAGAAATATATTTTTTTGGTTCACAGTATTGAGGTATTTGGCTATTGTATTGTATTAGTCCATTTTGCTTTATTACAATGAAATACCTAAGACAGGCCAACATAATTGAAAAAGAGAAATTTCTTTGATTTTGTTGCATATGGATTTCTGGTTTTCCTATTTGTTGAAGAGGCTGTCCTTTCTCCAATATACGTTTTTGGCTCCTTTGTCTAATATAAGATAATTATTTATATGTGAGTTTATCTCTGTGTCCTCTATTATATACCATTGGTCTACAAGTCTATTTTGGTGCCAATACCATTTCTTTTTTGTTACTATTGCTCTGTAGTATATTTTAAGGTCTGGGATAGTGATGCTGCCTGCTTCGCTCTTCTTGCTAAGGATTGCTTTGGATGTTCTGGGTCTCTTTTTTTTCCAGATGAATTTCATGATTGCTCTTTCTATTTATATAAGGAATGTCATTGGGATTTGATTGGAATTACATTAAATCTGTATAATGCTTTTGGTAGTGTGGTCATTTTGACAATATTAATTCTGCTTATCCAAGAACAGGGGAGATCTTTCCATCTTCTAAGGTCTTCTTTAATTTCTTTCTTTAGTGTTCTGTAATTTTCATTGTAGAGGTTTTTCACCTCTTTGTTGATTCCCAAGTATTTTATCCTTTTGAGGTTATTGTAAATGGTGTAGTTTTCCTAGTTTCTCTTTGAGAGGATTTGTCACTGATGTACAGAAATGCCGTTGATTTATATCCTGCTACTTTGCTGAATTCATTTATTAGTTCTAGAAGTTTTCTGGTGGAATTTTTTGGATCTTCTAGTTTCAAATAGAACTATTTGCTATTTGCCAATGATATGGAAGATTCATATCATTGGCAAATAGTGCTAATTTTAGTTCTTCTTTTCCTATCGGTATCCCTTTAATTTCTTTTCTGTCTAATTGCTCTGGCTAGAGTTTCAAGAACTATGTTAAATAGTAGTGGTGAAAGAGGGCATCCCTGTCTTGTTCCAGTTTTTAGAGGACTTCCTTAATAAGACTCCTAAAGCACAAGAAGTAAAATCAAGAATCAATAAATGGGTTAGATTAAAACTAAAAAGCTTCTTCTCAATGATGTTAATAGAGAGATGAATAGAGAGCCTACAGAATGGGAGCAAATTTTTACCACATGCACATCAGATAGAGCACTAATCTGTAGGATATATAAAGAACTCAGAAATCTTAACAACAAAAAAACAAATAACCCAGTCAATAAATGGGCCAAGGACCTGAACAGACACTTCTCCGAATATGATATACAAGCAATCAAAAAACATATGAAAAAATATTCAACATCTATAGCAATTAGAGAAATTCAAATCAAAACTACTGTAAGATTTCATCTCACTTCAGAATGGCAGCTATTCAGAATACAAACAGTAATAAGTGTTGGGGAGGATATGGGGAGAAAGGCGCACTCATACATTGCTGGTGGGACTGCAAATTGGTGGTTGGACTACAACCAATCTGGAAAGCAGTATGGAGATTGTTTGGAAAACTTGGAATGGAACCACCATTTGACCCAGCTGTTCCATTCCTCAGTTTAATAACCAAAGGACTTAAAAACAGCATACTGTAGTAATGCAGCCACATCAATGTTTATAGCAGCACAATTCACAATAGTTAAAATTGTGGAACCAACCTAGATGCCCTTCAGTAGATGAAAGGGTAAAGAAATTGTTATGTATTTTCACAATGGAATATTACTCTGCATTAAAAGAGAATAAAATCATGGCATTTGCAGGTAAATGGATGGAATTGGAGAATATTACACCAAGTGAAGTAAGCCAATCCCACAAAACCAAATGCTGAGTGTTTTCTGATATGAGGAGGCTGATCCATAATGGGGATAGGGTAGAGCATGGAAGGAATGGAGGAACTTTCGGTAGGGCAGAGGGGAAGGGAGGGAGCATGCGGGTAGGAAAGACAAAGGAATGAGATGGACATCATTACCCCAAGTACATGTAGACATAAATAGTGTGACACTACTTTGTATACAATCAGAGACATGAAGAGTTGTGATCTATATGTGTGTTATGAATTGAAATGCATTCTGCTGTCATATGTAACAAATTAGAATAAATAAATATTCTAATATAAATTTTTTTTAAGAGGAAAGGTGTGGGTTTGAAGGAGATTTTTAGGCAAGTAGGACAGAGGTCCACAAGAAGGAAAACCCACATCTGGGTAAAGGCTCAGAAGACAAATATGAACAACAGTACATATGACAGGTATTTATTTTGTTCCTTTATGTATATAAGACAGCCTTTAGTTGGCCACTTAATCCACTTGATTTTGCTCTGATTCCCTGAAGGTCCCAGTGGGCAAGTTTTGGTCAAGACCCATGTGCTACAACAACAAAAGGGTGCTTGGTTTCCTTTTGGTCTCCTTCTGGTATTTATTGATTTATTGAAAAAAACTTCAGAGTGGTGAAAGGATCCAGTGAGCAGTGGCATCCCATTTCTCTTTGCACCTTAAACTTGGGGTCAGTAATTCTTAGGTTTACTTTGCTTTCTCTTACTCCATTCTGCTCTAGGGATTTCAACTGCTGATTTATTTTCAGGAACTTTTGTCCTTACTGCCAGGGTTCTTACAGTCTCTTAAGTAACCTGCCACTGTTGCCACGGGAACTCATCAGGATTTTACCCAGCACTCAGCCAGGCAGCCCATGGCTCCTTCCCTGGCTTCTCCCTGGCTTTCCTCACCTTGCTATCATTCTATAGACATTCTTATCAAATTGTTTTCAAGAAGATAAATCTTAAGGAATAGAAGAAGCTAAAAGTACATAGTCTTTATCAAGTCTGCCAAAGTTGACTCAAAAACCTGGTCTTTGCTAGTATTTCTAGTTTGTCTCCAGCTCATACTAGATAATGGTGGTTTAGATCAGGGTGTTTGTTAGTAATGTGTACCACAGATTAGATTTACTATATTCTATATTTTGAGGGAAATTAAAATATTAATGGATTAGAAATAGAACCAAGGAATGAGAATTAAGATTTTTAGCTTGAATAACTGGATGCATGGTGTAACCATATACTGAGATGGAAAGAACAGGAAGAGGAATGGTTTGAGGGTGAAATCAAAAGGTATAGCCATGTTTGAGGAACCTATAGATTTCAAGTTGAGATGTTCAGGAGTCAAGAGTGACTACATGTGCCTGAAGCACAGAAGGAATCAGGCAGCTCTGGAGAGTGAGTGTGGATGGGGCTGAAAGCCCTGGGAATGAGTTAGACATCTTAGGGAGGAAGTGTGGCTAAAGGAGAGCAGATGATCTGGAACCAAACCCTGGTGTGACATGACATTGAAAGCTCAAGTGAAAGAAGTAGCCAGAAAAAGAAACTGACCAGAGTGTGTAGAAAAGACTGGTATTCTAGTAGCCAAGGAAAAGCCTTTTGAGAAAGGGTGGAGTGGGCTGGGGTTGTAGCTCAGCAATAGAGTGCTTTCCTAGCATGTGTGAGGCACTGGGTTTGAGCCTCAGCACCACATAAAAATACATAAATAAATAGCTAGGTGCAGTGGCACATGCCTGTAATCCCAGTGGCTCAGGAGATAGGCAGAAGGATTGCTAGTTCAAAGCTAGTCTCCGAAATTTAGCAAGACCCTAAGCAACTGAGCAAGACCCTGTCTCTAAATAAAATACAAAAGAGAGTTGAGGATGTGGCTCAGTGATTAAGCACCCCTAAGTTTCAACCCTGGTGAAATAAATAAATAAATAAATAAATAAATAAATAAATAAACAAACAAACAAGTAAGTAAATAAGTAAATAAGTAAATAAATAAATAAATAAATAGTATTGTGTCTGTCTAAACTAAACAAAAGATTATAAAAAGTTGGGGGGAGCCCCTTGTTTCATTTATTTCTGAGGGTGAAGTAAGACTGGAATAGGAAAGTGGTTTGGATATGACTAGTTTGTGAGTGAGCTTGTAGTTCAGTGGAGAGGTCAGGACCAAGGAAGGCTTAGCTGAAGGGGAGGGAGCTTAACTGTACAGAAGAGACAGCTGGAGGAGCTGTCAGCTGAATTGTGCTGGCACTTTATAGAGAGGGAAGATCAGTGATGCAGGAGAGATGGGAGAATTTCCAGGATTAAGATTTAGCACTAGAAGCTGTCAGTGGCATTCAGAATATAGCCTCGGGTAGATATGATATAATTAGAAAATCTTTTGTTCAGAAGAGGTCATTAGTTGCTCAAAATCTTTGAAGTGACTTTTTAAAAGCTTAGTGGATCACTTAAAATGAAAACTATGATGTAAGAAAAGATTTTAACAAATTTGGAAGATTAAAAGATGCTTTCATCAATTGTGGTTAGATTTTTTTGTTTTTATTTTTGTTTTTTTTAACTGGTGATTGATTTTGTGTTATCTTTTTGGTGCCAACTAATTTGAGATATTTTAAAGTCTTCTTTCTTAGCATCCTTGAGGTTAGCTTCTTCTTAAGATTACCAATCAGCCATACACCATGGCTTACACCTGTAGTCACAGACTACTTAGACTGAGGCAGGGAATGTAATTTATACAATACTACTCAGTGAAAACTAGAATAGAGTTTTTATTCCTCTCTGCTGGATTTTTAATGTCGTTAAACATTGTCATTATTGTTTTTAAGAATGAAAATGATCCCAAACCAGAAAAACTGAAAAAATAGTAAAATGAATTCAAGACAACTTTCTCAAAATAAAAGATTTAGAACTGTATTTGAAAGACTATCATGTGCTTAAGAGTATCAACCTGGAAAGACCAACACTAAGATATATTCTAGTAAAAGAAAAACATTACTTGGGTGTGTAGAAAAAGAAAGCACATGACTTACTAAAAGAAGAAAATTAGACCAGCTTCAGACTTTTCCATAGCAGTACTTTCTTTATACCAGAAGAAAATGGAATCACATATTTAAGATTCCTAGTGAAAGAATGAGCTAAGAATTTTGTCCAGAAAACTGACTTTCAAGTAGAAAGAGTATAGACAAATTGTCATCAACTTGTAAGGACTTAAGAAATACTGACATGAGCCCTTTCTGAGGAATCTATTAGAAATGCTGTCTAACCTCTGTTCATCTCTTCACTTACCATCTCTCCATCCATCTGTCGCCAAGCTGTGTCCATTGAAAAGGACTGGAAACAATGGTCAACCCTGGCAGCAGAGAGCAACTGCTCAAACAAGGGGCACTCCCCACTTCATATATATATATATATATTTGTAGTTGGACACAATACCTTTATTTCTATTCATTTATTTTTATGTGGTACTGAGGATTGAACCCAGGGCCCTGTGTGTGCTAGGTGAGCACTCTACCACTGAGCCATAACCCAGCCCACTCCCGCTTCTTTCCATGGCCACTAGAACACCAGCAATGAGCCCAGATTGTACACTTGAAATACTATTTCTTATTAAAGGGAACCTGAGTTTCCTGGAGAAATGACTGATCTGAGTTCTTGTATGAGATGGACACGACGAGCTTGAAGGAACTTATTTTGTAATACTGATCCGCAGGGAAGGTATCAGAGAACAGTAGGGTGTTATCAGAACTTTTCAGCCACTCGGAAGAGGCTAACATTGGCCAAAGATAGAACACTTTGAACTTTATTAATAATAAGTGATAATAAGTGCCATGGATTAAAACTCAGTAAATATGTTTAAATTTGTGACACAGTGATGAGATACATATTTTAAAAGAATAACCACTTTAAGAGACTCAAATTTATTATCTTGAAAATAAGACAAGGAATCAAGCATTTACTTTGCTTTTCCTTTATGATTTGTATAACTGAATAGCCAACCAATAGATCCTCATTAGAAGTACCTCTTTATAAAAGTATTCCAATTGAGAGTTGGTAGAACTAGAACATCACTATTTTGCAACTCCTTATGGATGAATCATAAGTACAGACATCAAGCATCAGTGACTGTCAGATCACAAAAAGACAGTATATGTCATGTGCTTCCAATAGTCGTGACAAAGTCTTATGCAGTCATTGGATTTAGCTGCCTATTTGTAGGAAATGCAGAAAACAGGGGTAAATTTTGAAATGTATTGTGAGGATTTGAATTAATACAATTCAGATAGGGAAATGCTACAGGTTACATGGTTTGGGTCTTTCACAGTTAAATTGTTAAGAAAAGGGATGGAGAGGGGCCTCTAGATTAAAAGAAACTTAACAGACATTTCAGCATTGGGATTTTTGACCAGAACAGGATGAGAGCAGCAGATTCTTCCCCCAAGTGCTAATGTAAATGGGAAAAATTGACAAAACCTTGTAAGTGCTCTTCAAATAAACCAAAGGTATATAACTCTCTGAGAATCGTTTATGGTTTAAAAACTGCTGAGATTCAGGTATGAGCAGTGGGAACACTGGAAGCGTGGCAGTCTTTGCTGAGCATATACCTGTTCCTCAACCTCTCAGCTTGGTTAACATGGGGATTCTGCCAGGATGGGGCAGGTTGTACGTGCTGGCAGGCTTGCTATTGGGACTCACTTTGTCTTGGGGACGAGTGTGATGCCTGTGCCCAGCAGCCTTGTCAGTAGAAGACATGATCTTGGCAGCAGATGGGCTGATAATAACCAGTATCTCTGTTGGCCTAAAGTTGTGATCAGGGAACTGTATTCTTAGTTGAGGCTGTGCACGTGTGTGCTTGTGATAAGGGTGGACCCAAGCCCATTGCAAATTCCTCACCAACCCACAAGCTATGTGCCTGAACACAGGGTATGCAAAAGGGCCCTGTGGGACAGACGGTATTGAAGTTGAGGAAGAAATGAAACAACAAAAGAAAGGAAACATTTATTTTAATTCTAACACTTCTTCCTTTATTTATCTATTTATGAAAATACTTCTTCCCATCAAATATTTGCTTACCCCAAGGTGTAATATATATAGAAAAGACAGGTTAAATGGTTGATTTTTTTTTTTATTCCCCTTTCCTTACTAGTTTTCAAAGTAATAAATTGATTACCTAGCATTTTCCTATGAGAACCAATTTAGAAATTGTTGTTGTTGTTTGTTTTTGAATGTCATTTTGAAGTCATGAATTTAGTTTGTTAATTGAAGTTAAGATTCTTGGTCCTTGTCTTGATTCATCCTTCTTTAATTTGGATCTTGTTCTTTTTTGCGGGGTGGGGGGGAGGTGAGCCTGGGGGATTGTAATAAGGGACTTGTGCATGCTAGGCAAGCATTCTACCAACTGAGCTATATCCCGACCCTGAGTCTTGTTCTTTTGATGTGAATCTTGAGATAATTTTTGTTACATTTAAACATAATTAATCTGAATTAATTGCTATATTAAATTTGGGTGGGGTGCTGGGGATCAAATCCAGAGCCTCTTGTGTGCTAGGCAAGCACTCTCCCACTGAGCTACATCCCCATATTTTACATGGGAATATATTACAGCTTGAAAGTGGTTTTCTTCTTCAAGCACTATAGTGTTAATTGTTACCGAATATTGAAATGTGACTGTGAATTTCCTTGGGAATGTTTTCTTTGTAGGTATAGGAGGTATCGCCAGCATGCCACCGCTTACTGCTGTTGCTCCAGTGCCAATGGGATCCATCCCAGTTGTTGGAATGTCTCCACCCTTAGTATCTTCTGTTCCTCCAACAGCAGTGCCTCCCCTAGCTAACGGGGCTCCCCCTGTCATACAGCCTCTGCCTGCATTTGCTCATCCTGGTATGTGACCTGCCAAAACCATAGGCTGAATTTCCACAGCTTTTATTTTGATATTTATTCTTGTTAAATCTTTTTTTACTTTCTTATCACATTTAAATGATATTTTATTCCAAAGTAAAATCTTTTTTTTTCCACTTAATTTTTCATTTTTTTCAACATATTAAGCAGCATATTTTATGGTAGGGAGAGGACAAGGGAATGGAATTGTCGATCTCTGTGAACAAAAGTAAACTTGGTGGTGAAAGTCAAGAGCATAATTTCTCTTCAAGGGCTTAATAAGAGCAGCTGAAATTGAACAGTGTTTCTGATCACTTTTTATTTTCATGTATCAGTTACTACTTTTCTATAGCTACTGTGAATTGCTAATAAGCAAGCCATCTCCTAGGAATTAAGTTATGTGCTGGGGAAAATTGAACATTGCTTGATTTTTTTGAGGAGGTGGAATGAATCAAGCAGAAAAGAGAAGGAAGTCATTTAAATGACTAAGCATATTAAGCACATGGTATTGCATATTTGCTTAATTGAAGGAGAGGATTTCAAAATTCCTCATTAGTTAATTCAATTTGAGACTTTATTCATTCAAAGTCTTTCCCTAAAAGAAAGCATGAACTATATAGTTAGTCATAGTCTAACAAATCTTAATGGTTCATATCAATATGAAAAAAAAATTTAACACTTTGGATATGTCTGGTAAATAGTGATAATAGCATGGGCTTTACTATTATATTTGAAACATTATTTCTATGTCTGACACACCCTGGATTTATTATATTTGTTGGGTTGTGTCTCTGAGTTATAGCCAAAGAATCTAACAACACTCTTTGGACTTAGATTTTTTTGTCCTTTATAGTCCATTGTTTATATATGATCATGCCTTCAGATGTGATAGGAGCCGAGAAAGTGCATGCAGTTCCTTTTTCAGTAGTAATGGTGAATCCACAAGCTCTGAGTCTTGTTTTCTTTTGAGCTAATGGTAGATCAACCAGCAGGCAAGGGTGGGGGAATGTGACTAAGGCTAAGGGTGTTTTTAGTCTGATACAAAACTAATCAGGTCAAATGAGAATCAGATACAAAAGCTGTCCCTCCCTAGTATCACATATTATCTGGCCAAGACTTGGCAGACTGACTTCTTGGCTCTGACATCTGGAACTGATACTTAAGCTCCTTTAGTGCAGTTGAGAAAATGCCATCTTTTTGGGTGCAGTGGCACACATTTGTAATCCCAGCGATTTGAAAGACTGAGGCAGGAGGTTCACAAGTTCGATGCCACCTCAGCAATTTAGCAAGGTGCCAAGCAAGACCCTTTCTCAAAATGAAAAGGGCTGGAATGAAGCTCAGTGATAAAGTGCTGGGTTTGATCCCTGGCAACTCCCCCTGCCTCCCAAATGCCACCTTATATATTTAAGCTGTTACATTTTTAACTATTGGAATGGATCTAATAACATGTGGTACTAAAAGCTCAATGAAATGGAAAACTTTATGGATGTCAGCATTACTGCTCAGTAAAGTAATTCTCAGTAGAACAGTAAATCTAGAAGCATTTTGGCAAGAGGACAGAGACTAAGAGGGAAATAGAACTCTTTTGAGTCCAAGTTCTATTGGAAAGCAAGGAGGAGTTGTTTCTGCTTTAAGTTTTCTTTGTTTTTTATTTTTTTGGCACTAGGGATTAAACCCAGGGGTTTTTACCACTGAGCTATATCCCCAGCCCTTTTTATTTTTTATTTTGAGACAAAAAGTCTTGCTAAGTTGTTGAGGGCCTCATTAAGTTCCTGAAGCTGGCTTTGAACTTTTGTAGTCCTCCTTACAGGAGTATACCACCCTGCCTGGCTGCCTTAGGTTTTATGTCTGTGCATTTTAATATTTTATCATAGGGGAAAGTTTCTTATCTTTGTAGAATTAAAATTATTCAACATTTATTTTTATAGCAGCCACATTGCCAAAGAGTTCTTCCTTCAGTAGATCTGGTCCAGGATCACAGTTAAGCACTAAATTACAGAAGGCGCAGTCATTTGATGTGGCCAGGTAAGCTTGCTTGTTTTTAATGATAAGTTTGGTTTAAAACCATTATCTGATTATAGAAAATGAACCCTCTTTATTATCTTCTTTCATTTTTATTGTATGTTAATAATAATTTAAAAATTCTTGATAATGTCACTAGGTTTTAATCATTTCTTTGTTGCAGGGATGACAGAAATCAAAAACATGCCATTTCTTGGAAGGTTTTATGTGTTTTTGTTGTTTTTGGCTTTTTAAAGGGGATAACAAAAAGGTAACGGGGGGCGGTGGGGGCTGGGTGTGCAGGTCAATGGCAGTGGCAGAGCACTGCCTAGCATGGGTAAGGAGGTCCTAGGTTCAATACCTAATACCAAAAAAAAAAAAAAAGTAACAGACATTTCTAAACATAGTAAAATAGCATTCTAGGTAAGGGAAAAATAAATTAACTGTTTCTTATTAGTAACTTAAAAGTGTATAAAAATTATATATGAAGATTGGAGCCATGGGTTTATATTATTTTTCAGTCTGTCTCAGATAATCTCATGGAGTCTGTGTGGCTTATTAGTAAAACCCTCTTAAAGGCCAATTTTTACTAAAATGAATTATTCAAATTAATGGACAGTTCACATTAATCAAAAGTGTGGCTCAATTTTTGAAAAACTCATATGATCTTATTACTTATATTTTGGCCAAACTGATTTTGTATTTTATTTATTTATTGGTACCAGGGATTGAACACAAGGGCACTTAACCTCTGAGCTACATCCCCAGCTCTTTTTCACATTTTATTTAGAGACAGGGTCTTGCTGAGTGTTTTAGGTCCTTGCTAAGTTTCTGAGACTGGCTTTGAACTCTCGGTCCTCCTGACTTGGCCTACCAAGCCTCTGGGATTACAGGCATGTGCCAGTGTGCCCAGCTCTATTGTATTTATTTATTATATTTTTATTATATTATATTTTTGTTTTCTCCTAGTTTTTTCCCCTGTGTATACTGATACACTAAGTTGAAAATTTTTATTGTAAGTAGTCTTAAAACTCTTGGAATGAAGGAGGATGTAAATTAAGGTAATTGCAGCCTTTCATTGAAATTATCTCTTAATTTAATCAGGTCGTTTTTCCTCTTTAAAGAGAATAATATGTTGAATATAATTCAATAATGCATTCCCTTAAAAATATGATTTAAAGAAAATCCATACCCTAACATTAACTAAAAAAAAAAAAAAAAAAAAAAAAGGAAAGTGAGAAAGACCCATCCAGTGAAAAGCACTGTACCAAAAGCTGTGCACAATAACTGACTCATCTCCATAAGATGACTCTATTATTTTCTCTGTTTTAGTTTGGGGACCAGGTCAGAGACATTGAGTGACTTGCCCAAGATTATTAACTTGTTAAGTGTCAGTGCTGAGTTGTACTCAGTTTTTCTAAACTGCAAATTTTCTATAAAATCTTCAGTTTATTGTGGTGTACAGGTATTTGTGATCCATTTCATTTAAGTTGCTAGCCTTTGAATGATTGAACATTTATTGAACTTTTTTTTGCCAGGCACCTTATTAATCCCATTCAACCCACAACTACCTGTGCATAGGTATTGTCTCAGGATTGTGAATGAGGAGGCAAACAACCCAAAGAAGTTATGTTCCTTTCCTATAATTTACAGTTGAGTAAAGGTAGAGCTGAGGCTTAAACTCGTATCACCTGACCGTAGTTCCATATTGTTAATTTTTTTCTCCTATATGATGCTGAAGCTTTTATATTTTTTCTAACTTTCCACAAGGGATTTTGAAATCTGCCTTAAAATTGATTTGTAACAATTTAGAATGAATGTTATTCATTATTAACAAAAATCAATAGTATTAAGATAACTGAACTTTTTATGTTAATATTCATCTTTTCAATAAAATAAATTTTCAGCAAAGTTTTATAATGTAGTATCCAACTGTTAGGTAATATATTAATGAGTTAGTTTTTAGTCTATTTAGATTCTCAGGAATTAGACAGAGAACCATGACATGATAAGTGTAATCTGGGACAACTTCTGTGCGTATCACCCTATATCTCTAGGGTGCAGGAGCAAGATAGCTTTTTGACAAACAAGCAAGAGTTGGAATCAGCAAAATATTAGTTAAAATGAGAGAGTTGTTGCCCAAGTATTCACAGCAGAATAGATCACGGTAAGTGTTTTTTATTAAGAAGTTCATAAAAATTAAAAAGGTGAGCTTAGTGCTTTTCAAGTGTTTGGGAGCTACTTTCTGTGCTTTCTGAACTATATACAGTAAGTATAAGTGCATTGATAATACATATAAATCATGGTTAAGAGGTTAAAATTTTACCTTTCCATGAGAGATATAGGTATTTTTATTGGAATGAAAAGAAGTTACATATGGGACATTAGCTGTGGTCTGCTGGAAGAGGAGTACCATTTTTACTGTCAGCTGAACATCTGTGAATGAATCACTTGATTTAAACATTAGACTTTTAACAAACTATTGATACCAATGTGATCCTTGCTTGGGCCATGGTAGCTGAGGAGCAAATTGCCAGGGATGTCTAGACCCAAATTGGCTGTTAGCAGTGGTTTCTTCAGGTCAGGGTTGTAGCACATTGGCAGAAAGAGGTCACTGCTGGATGGCATTTAAGAAAGATGAGCGCTGTCCATCACTGTTCTGCTGATTTGTCATGGTCTTGGAAATGTTTTTTGGAAGATTCTCCACTTGGTGGAAATTCAAACTTCTTATCGTGAAATAATTTTATTTCATTAAGAAGTGGGTTCTATGCAGGGTATGAGGGTGCATACCTGTAATCCCAACAACTTGGGAAGCTGAGGCAGGAGGATCACAACCTCAGCAACTTAGTAATGCCCTGTCTTAAACTATTAAAAACATAAAAAGGGCTGAAGGCTTAGCTCACTTGTTAAGTGCCCCTGGGTCCAATCCTAGTATTACCCCTTCCCCGAAAGAAAAGAAAAAGAAGTAGGTCCCATATTTTAGTGTATAGAAAATTGAATATTTTGGAGAATTAATACCTTTAGAGGCACTTAATTGTTGGGAGTGTTTTTTTTTTTTTTAACTGAAGGAAATGTTTTCTAGACACAAAAATGTGTGTTATTTTGCCTCTGTTCTAAGATTTCTCATATTTATGTAGAACCTTGATATTATTAAGTTATATATGTAACATGAAATAGTCACTTGATCTTTTAGGTTTTCCATTTCTGGAAAAAATAATGAATATTTTTAAAAATTGTTAAAAATATTTTTTAAAATTGTTATGTGTATATTTTTAGTTTTTTGTTCAAACCCTCAGAAAAACAAACACATACACACACATACACACACACATACAAACACACATACAAACACACACACAAACACACACGGCAGGGATTGGGGGAAGGGAAAAAGGGCAATACTGTTCAAGTTGTAAATCTAGAGAAAGTTCTAAGTTTACTGTTTCTAAAGACCGTCAGTAGTCTTTTTCTTCTGGTTAATCATCTTTTTCTCCTTCCTGTTTTCCTGGTAGTGTCCCTCCAGCAGCAGAATGGGCTGTTCCTCAGTCATCAAGATTGAAATACAGGCAGTTATTCAATAGTCATGACAAAACTATGAGTGGACACTTAACAGGTATTTACAAATAAAGATTAGTGAAATATGATCTTTGTTCTAAATGCAGATTGTTTCTAGATATTGGGTCAAAGGTATTTTCCAAATGTCTTTCTTTGTTTGCTTATTTCTAAGTAGTGTTTTTGTTGTCTGTGTTGTCTTGTGTTTGCAAATACTGATAACTCCATCAGTAGTCTTCTAATCCTCTGACCTTTGTCCCAGTGTGCTTCTTGGTAGAGTAGAACATGGACTAGGTATGCTCCTGCACATTGAAAGCCACTAATATGCAAACCAGGACACTAATAAAGTAACAGTGCTATGAACAAAAACTAGCTTTAGGTTCTGAAGTCTAGCTTTGCAAATGTTCTTCATGATGTTCACTCTCCAGGCCAGAGTTTGAATCTGTGTGCAACATGGAAAATAACCTCTTAAGGAACATGGTTTGCCATGGTTTCACTGGGTCTCACCTCTTTGGAATCTTATTTCTTCATCTGTTAAAGACCAGAGTAATTTATATGATTCCAGTAGATTTTTAAAAATTATGATGATACTATTTCCACATAGAAAGAGTGGAGAAGAATTTTAGGGTACCATCTGAAATCTTTTCAGGAAGGGTTAAATACTTAAAAATAATTAACTTTTTATATAGAGAAACATAACATTAGTAAAACAAAATAGAGACTTTGAAGGGTTGGCTGAGACTTTGAAGGGCTTTGCTCTAATCTTAAAACCTTTCCCCACAAATGATCTTAGCTATCTCACTTCAGCATGTATTTATCTAAAGGGACAAATAGTGAATACACACAAATACTCTGGGTGCCGTGCTCACCTCTGCTGAAGTAGTGACTGACAGGTTTATGTAGATAGTATGAAAAGCCAGTATAGCTTAGGCAGACACTGCAGGGACATTCACTAGTACAGTTTTAAGCCCTCTTTTACAGTGTGTTTGACACCAGTTCTCTACACATACCCAGAACTACATTGCCATCAAGTCTGAAAATATTTTTTCAAAATAGTGCTGTTGTTTGCTGTGATTTAATGAAAACAGTATTCAAATGTGACACTGATTTTGAAATTCTTTCTTGACAAAATGTGGTTTTTTTAATTGAAGTGTATATATCCCAACAATAATGACCCAGGCACTTGTATTTAGAATTTTTAATTACCTGAGGCAGAAAGTAAGGTTTGAAATGTACTGGAAAGAAAGCAGGTTTTGTTTTTGCTTATCTGTAAGCTTGTTACTACTTCATTCCAGCAAGAGTTTAAGGTGCAAATTTGATTTTTGAATCAGACTTTCATATAGTCATATCTGGTAGAAAAATTTATTATCATAAATGGCAATAAATAAAATAAATTTAGTTTGTTTTAACTTTATATACTTTTGAGTTATTTGTCCAAAATATGTGTTGGACTAAACCAAGCTGTTGGTGCAATCAGAGATGATTTGTTGATGGTTGAAACACAAAGGTCATGGTCTTATTTGCAGCTATGAAAATATTATATGAACTCATAATCCTAAAAGCAGTTATTCATTTAACTTAAGAGAAATATCAAGAAAGTTGAACCAAAGCCCTAGTATATGAAGAGGCCCAAGTGAAATATGTAATTTGATATTCTAATCTGTTCCTTTTTCTTGGTTTTGTGTGTGTGTGTGTGTGTGTGTGTGTGTTCTTGTTTAAAGGCACTAATAACAAATCCAAAACTATCAAAAACAAAAGAAAAATATTTTTAAAAAGACAAGAAAGAATTAACAAGCATCTTTATGAAGATACACAATCATAACTTCTTAATCTAGTGCAGTAGTTCTCAACCTTGGAGTTGGGACATTCTAGATGAATACAATAAAAGTATAGGGGTTGTAGATTATTTTGTTTTATATAAATTAGAGGAGAATCTAGATTATCTTTGTAGTATCACTTTTACTACCTTATATTCACATATAATAATATTTCATTATTAGCTCCCCAAGAATTATATATAACCTGTTACTTCTCTGATCTCTGCTACTCCTGTAGCAAGAGCCCATTGTTAATGTCCTATCAGTTTTTAATGGGATTTCTAATTACCATTGTGTCTTATTTTCACCTTCTTACTTTGAATACCATCAGATCATGACTACATCTGTATGAGCAAGTTGTGGGCATGAGAATGTATGTCATTGATTGGTTCCAGCAGAAAAAAGTGAGAACTTCTGATCTTGTGATATGAACTAGTTTACCTTGGGAATGGAAGCTAATCCGGTAGTAGTGTTGTTTCCCCCAAGAATTACCTGATCAATTTAACTGACATACATTATTAGGTGTATGCCCCCTTCTTCTCTCACAATTTGATGAGTATTTTATTATTCTTAGAGAGAACTTATAAAATGGTCATTCTTGAATTAAGGTTATGTTAGAAGCTGTAGAATTCTCATAATCTTATTCATTCTAGCCTTTCTTCTCAAAGAGGTGTCTTATTATGAAGGTGACCATTCCATTTTTTTTTGTTTGTTTGTTTGTTTTTGCTTATTAATTAGGAAAGCTAAACTCTTGTCAATATTGGACATAAAGCATTAATTCCATGTAATTTTCTCTCTCCTGATATTCAGACTTCCCTATCCAAACATGGATGCCCACAGTTGGGTTTGTGAACTTGAGATTTCTGTTAATCCCCATAATATCAGTCTATATTCTAAAACTGGTACCCTATTATGTATCTAGGTTTCCATGAAAGAGTTCTGTGCACTCAAAGCTCAATTTTATGCTGTTGTGTTATGCTAAAATGTTATCTTATTTGTTGCTGATCTATTTTAATGTTTGCAAAATTGTTGTGAGACAGAATCAAGTTTTAGAATTGAAAGAGATAATTGTGATCTTCCAGTATAGGGATCAATAAACTTTTTCTATAAAAACAAGATAATAAGTTTTTAAAACTAGTAAGCCTCATGTTTTCTATTGCAAGTACTCGACTTTGCCACTGTGGCACAAAAGCAGCCTATTAAACCTATTCATGTTTAATGAATAGGCTTGACAAAGTTTTAGTAAAACTTTATTTATAAAAACAGGTGACAGGGCCATATGATCTATGGGCCATAGTTTGCTAGGTCCCATTCCAGGTTTTTTTCCTCATTTCAGAGATAGAGAAATTCATTTTAGAGAGGTAAAGTAGTTTTGTTAATGCCACATGACATTAAGGAGTCAGGGCTGAAATATAAGTGTCCAGATACCTATGATAGTCTTGGTTCTCCACCTTCCTATTAACCTGTTTATTTGAAAAAGATAAAATATTAATTGTATATGGTTCTGGAATGGGAGAATTGTTAAAAGTACTAATTAAAGCATTCACTTAAGTTTTGCTAATTTTATTTTAATGTTTTCAGCAAACTCTGAAGAAAATAATGAGGGACTGTGTCTGTGGCTCAGCAGTAGTGCACTTGCCTGGCACGTGGGAGGCACTGGGTTCGATTCTTAGCACTGCATATAAATAAGTAAAATAAAGGTCTGTCAATAACTAAAAATTTTTTTAAAAAAGAAAATAATGAATTTTCTTTTCAATACAACAGAGAACCTTTAGAATCTTTCCATTAACTTAGTAAAAATTGTTTATTAGATGCTGTTAATACATATACATATATACATACACACTAAAGAGAAATATATTCATATGTTTACCAAAACAGAAGGTTCGCTATTTTTAAGAGCCTCAAATTGAAAAATGCCTAAATGCCCATCAGAGCAAAATAAATTGGGCTATAGGCACAGAATGATATACCGTATAGCACACATACATAAAAATATACATATACATGTATGTACATGTATATAGTTATCATGTGTGCTTTTCTACCAATATTTTACATGTAAATAAAAGTTAAAATCATTGTCAGTAGTAATAAATATTAAATAATAAATATTAACTGCCACTTATTGAGTACTTTAATGTGCTTTATAAAGTTATGATTCCTTAAATGGTGGATCATAGGTTTTTCTAATCTGGAAAGCACCTTTGAGATGAAAAACTCAGGTCCAAATAAGTAAGGAAACTACCTTCCCAGAGTAACTCAGCAGAGTGTAAGCTAAGCTAGTACTGAAGCCCACAGTCCCCTGGTTTGTCAGGACTTTGTCCTTCCTTTTCTGGCTTTGGAGTGCTGGGACCTTGTGATCCCTTTCCTTCCTTACTTGCTATGCAAACACTCATCAACTTCTGTGTGTTTTGATGAGGTGATATTTGAAAACTGAAATAGCTAAGAGTAAAAGTTTATACATGGGAATCTTGCCAACAGAATTACTACAGCTTTCTGTCCTTGGATCTTCCTGGCACCACACAGCTTGACAGGCAGTGCTGGAATTAAGACATATTTGGGGTGTGTGTGTGTGTATGTGTGTGTGTCTTTGTTATATTAATTTAAACACTCAAAAATCTCCCATTGTATTTTCTATGTGATATATAAAGCTAATTTCTTGCCAGAAATGAAGATATTTGCAGTTATTTTAAGAAAATGAGACCTGATTTTGAAAGAAGAGTAGAAATTCCAGGAAGTATTTCTATTTTTGCTAACATAGAAATTTTGTTCTAGTCCTGGCTATGATATTAGCCAGTTGTGCAACCTTCAATTCAATTTTTTTTTTAAAAAGTCTGTACAGTGAATGATTAGAAGTCCCTCCAAGGCCCTTTCCTTATCTAAGATATTGTAAATCTTCTCTGAATTTATGTGATGATAGTCATGGTGAAGGCAGCAGATGGTGACCATGGAGAAGATGTTCAGTTTATAGTGATAAAGTCTCACTTTTGTAAATAAAAGCCCAATACAAATAGAGATGTTAGTCTGGACAAAAGAACAGGTTATATTTTGAAACTCTCATCTTCTACACACTCATTCCTTATTAAACACCCATTGAGCAAAAATGTATTGTGTGTCAGATGCAGCACTGTCATCTTTGTTTCTTTACTTTTGCTAGGGTTTAATTTCCTTTTTTAAAAGCCCCAGGGTAATAGCAAATACTGTGTAAAGCTCTGTGATTGCATGAGATTGCATGGTTCATAAGCACAGCCACTCTGGTCTTCCTGAGCAGGGGTTATTTGCTGACTCATCTTTATGTCTTTTCTCTGGTTTCTATTCAGGTCCCCAAGCAAGAACTATTCTTATGCAATCGAGTTTACCACAGGCTCAGCTGGCTTCAATATGGTAAGGAATAGAAAACCTTGGTTTGTATCAAGTGGAGACTTTATTTCTTAAATTGGTTTTTAGATTAGCATCATTATTTAGGGGAGAATATTTGGAGTACACTTAATTTTCAGGGAGTTGTGATGATTGCCGCTCTTTTTCCCTGTTAATTTTGAAAAACACAAAAGCAGAAAGATTAATACAGTGAATTCTTAATAACACAGCTTAACAGTTCTCAACTATGGCTTGGTTCTTTCTTCCTCCTTGGTGATTATTTTAAGCCAGCTCTCAGTTATATCATTTCATGTGTGAATATTTCACCTGGTGTCTTCAAATAGATTGGAATTTAAAAGTTATAGTCATAATACCATGTTTTAAGATAATTAAAACCATGATTTTTATAGTCATTCTTACCAAGTTAATCAAGTAGTGTTCAAATTTCTTAGATTAACTTAGTTTTTAAGTTTCTTTGTTCAAAGGAGGACTAATATAAATTTATACTTTGCTTATTTTCCCCCCACCTCTTTTTTTTTTTTTTGGTGCAATGTGGTTGTACATAATAATGGGATTATTTGTTACATATTCATACATGCATATGGTATAACAATATTATTTGGCCAATATCATTCCCCAGCACTCTCCCCTCCCTCCCTGCCTTCCAGCCCTTGGTCCTTTTCCTGTACTCATCTCACCATGATTTTCATGAGATTTGCCCCCAGTTTTCTTTTCCTTTTTCTTTAGTTTCCACATATGAGAGAAAACATAAGACCCTTGACCTCCTGTATACCTTGCTTTTGTGTGTGTGAATGTGCATGTGCACACGGGCTAGATACTGAGACCTCATGCTTTCTATAGCATATGCTATACTGTTTAGCTCTGCTTCCAGTTCCTACTTTGCAGTATTTGATTGATACATCTTTTTAAAATCTTTTTTAATCTATAAATTTTTCCTTTTCCATCGGTCCCCTGGACCCCCTTAAAAACAAACATGTAGTCTAGTATATAGTTTTTTAGTGGCCTAACTTTTGAAGATTGCATTCCTGTGGTGGTGTTTAACTTGTTCCTGTATTTCCCATGAATTGGTAATTGGATCTAGAACAAGATTTTGCAACCTTTGCATTATTGATGTTTAGGGCCAGTAATTTCTTTACTGCAGAGGGCTGTCCTGAGCATTGTAGAATATTTTCTTTGTTTTGAGAGGTGGTTTAGAGATATGGTCTCACTTTATTGCTCTGGTTGGTGTCTGACTTGTGAGCTTGAGTGATCTTCCCACCATAGTCTCCCAAGTGCTCAAACTATAGGCGTGCATCACTGTGTCCAGCTCATGGCAGGTTTTTAGTAGGATCTCTTGTCTCTGTTTAGTAGATGCTACATTTAGTAGCATGATGCCTACCCCCAGTTATAACAACCCAAAATATCCCCAGACATTGACAAAAATTTCCCTTGGAGTTCAACATCATTCTTGGTTGAGAACCACAGTTTGAGTTTTATAGTTGTGGGTTTTTGTTGTTGTTGTTGTTGTTGTTGTTGTTGTTGTTTTGTCTTTTGTTAAGCCTACATCAGAGATGTTACCTGTGTATTTTAATCAGAAGGCATATAATGTCTGCCTGTTTTGCAATGGTTTTTGTTTTGTTATTTTCAGTGCTGGAGATTGAACAACGGGCTCATATATGCTAAGCAAATGCTTTACCAGTACTAAACTAATCACCAGCCTCTATTCTGTGATAATTTTTAATAGCTCTTGATGGGTATTGTCTAGGTCTTATAGGTTTTCTTACATTTAGATGTTAGTAAGAATAGTTTTTTAACAAACCATGCATATTTAAAAATTTTTAAAAATATTATGTAATTACTTAATTTTGAGCTTTTCTGCATATATTATTGTTGTGTATCTTTTAGTTACATGTTGATGACTATGCCTAGAAAATGGATTTGGTTTACACTGCTCATATGCCAAATTCATGACTTTCACACAGGGTACATCGATCTGGTTTCTTCTCAAGTGACTGAGCTCTAATGCTGGTCAGCCTCTAGGGAAGCCTAGACAGGAAGATCGAAAGAAAGTTCCATGCCAGTCTTAACAACTTAGTGAGACCCTGTCTCAAAATGAAAAATAAAAAGGGATGAGGATGTGGCTCAGTAGTTAAGCACCCCTGGGTTCTATCCTTAGTACCAAAAAAGGGGAAGAAATTGAAACGTTTATTTTAAATTTATAACTTGTCTTCCAAAAAACACATTTGAGGCATCTCTTTTTAGAATGTTATATTCTTAATTCAAACACTAAAATGATATTTCTTTTTTTGGGAGGTACCAGGGATTGAACTCAGGGGTACTCTACCATTGAGCCACATCTCCAACACTATTTTATATTTTATTTAGAGACAGGGTCTCACTGAGTTGCTTAGCGCCTTGTTTTTGCTGAAGCTGGCTTTGAACTCAGAATCCTTCTGCCTTAGCCTTCTGAGCCACTGGGATCACATGGTGCACGCCACCATACCCAGCCAGGATACTTTAATTAAATATTTGCAACCATAATTATTCAATTATGAAGGAAAAAAAGAATTCTAATGGATTTACCTAGGAGTAGCTAACTGTGGGGTGTGAAAAGAAAAGGGGGATAAGAATCAGCAGGAAGGGTTTTCATTTGTAGCTCTGGGACAGGCAAAACTAGAGACAGAAAAGAGATCAGGGGTAGCAGGGCCTGGGTGGGGGAAAGGGAAGAGTTGGACTGGAGGGAGATGTGGGGATTCTGGGTGGTGTTGACTGTTCTGTGTACTCTGTTGATGGTTCTATTGCTATGTTTGTCAAACCTCGAAGAATTGTACTTTAAAAAGGGCAAATGTTACAATAATAGTAATACTAATAGATTTATGGACCTAAAGAAATATCATAATTAAGAGAAAAGCTTCTTGGGTTTTGCCATTGGCAAAGCCAGTTTCCTAATGTAGCATTTGTCTTTTTAACATTCTGGTTAACAGATGTGTTGTCTTGCATCTTCTTTTGGTATCTTGAAGTTGTTAAATAAAATCACATTCTGGTACTTGCTAGGAAAATCTGTTTACTGTAATTAACTACTTGGGCAACTGCATTGTCAAGAGTGATGGAAATTGAATCCCTAGAATGAGGAGGAAAGGCCTTAACTCTATGAATTGGAGCCATAGAGATCCAGCCTAATAGGCATGTATTGAGGTTGGGCAGCCTATCCAGTAGGCCACATCTGGCCTTCACCTGTTTTTGTAAATTAATTTTTATTGTTAAAACAGCTATGCCTGTTTATTTATATATTGTCTATGGCTGCTGCAAGGGCAGAATTCAGCATGATAGAGATTATCTTACAAACCGTACAGTATTGGCTGCCTCACCCTGAATGTGACATATTTTAAATATTTTAAATGTGTCACATTCCCAGGACTGAGTAGAGTATTACTGCAATCTTAGCATTTGTTGAGTACTGAACACTATTCCAACTATATAAAATATTTCATTTTATTCTTGTAGTGGTATGAAATAATTGTAAACTGAGGCAAGTAGACTCAATTGGCCTAGAATAAGAATTATAATACAGATCTAAAATAAATCAGCAATGCATGCATTTTTATGAAACTGGAAATGAAACTTTTTTGTTGAATTAGGAATCTTTCTGACATTGATCAAGATGGAAAACTCACAGCAGAAGAATTTATCCTGGCTATGCACCTAATTGATGTGGCTATGTCTGGCCAACCACTGCCACCTGTCCTGCCTCCAGAATACATTCCACCTTCCTTTAGGTAAGGAACATTTGGCTTTTGTAAGGAATTATGCATTGCATTGAGTATGTTAATTCCAAATTGGCTTTGTTGACCATCTTATAGTGATTTCCATTCTTGACAAGTAAATGAAATATCTGTGAATTCAAGAGAATCTTCCAGTCCAGGTTCTATCTTAATTCTGGGCCTTTCTGTTCTACAGGGTATTTATAGTATATTAGTAAATGCAATCAAATAAAACATTTTTGTATGAACTTATATAGTTGAAAACTGAATAAGCCCATATATAGGAAATAAAGCAAGGTGTGTATTATACACATTCCACAGATAACAAAAAATGCTAGCAATTCAGAAATTACAATCAGAAAGATAATTAAAGAAAATTATCTTTGTCTGAAATAGTCTCAGTCGACATGTCAAGAGTGTTCCCCAGAGTCTAGTTGGGACCCCACTGTCATGTCTACATGCATACACACATATCATCCAATACAGCGCCAACTCATGGCTTTACATGTAGAAGATTAATATAAGATCCCACAAGTGCAAAGAAGAGAAACAAAGACATACTTCTGTTCTGGGTCCTCAAACTTCAGGAAAGACTTGTGAGGAGAAATAGCCATCACTGTCCACACTGTCCTCATGCAGGAGCAAGCTGAGAAACTGAGTGCAGAAGAAGCAAGGGGCAGCTGAAGAAGCATTTGCCTATAAAATCTCACAGCTGCAGGGTTCACTGCAGGAGAAATTGAACATTGGAAACTATTGAAAGTGTGAAAAGAAGGATGGGGAGATTGTTTTGAAAGAGCAAGTTTAAACATAGTGATACTGATCAGTAAAGTAAGTGTATTTCAAAACTATAAAATACAGACATTTCGTGTGTTCAGGAAGTGGTTAAATGGAGAAATTTTTGTATAAGGAAAACGGTTGCTCCCAAATTACTGAGCTGCTGATCTTTCCTGGAAGGGATTGAAAGTTACTCACAAGGGTAATGGTAATAGCATCAGACTCACTGGGTGCTCATTATTTACCAGATACTTTATGATTATAAGCTAATTTAGCCCTTTTGAATTGTCCTAATTTTTATGGTTTTTTCCCTTGCCAGGAGTTGGGGTGAGGGGTTCAGGGGATCAAACCTAGGATCTTGCACATGGAAAGCATGTGCTCTACCACTGAGCCACACCCTCATTCCCAACATTTTGAATAAGATAACACTCAGAATCTGATAACATATTCAAATATTCATTTTAAAAACTACAGAGTAAAGAAGTCCAAACTCTGTCTTTCCTCACTGTAAATGAAATTTGTTCCATGGTATGGTATAATCTAAAAATTCTTTTTTGTAGCTTGTTTCTACCTACCTCGTTTTATGTGGATTTGTTTCTTTTCTTTTCTTTTTTTCACAATTGCAGAAGAGTTCGATCAGGCAGTGGAATATCTGTTATAAGCTCAACATCTGTAGATCAGAGGTTACCAGAGGAACCAGCTTTAGAAGATGAACAGCAACAATTAGAAAAGAAATTACCTGGTAAGGCAGCCTTTACATTTGGCTTACACATCAGATTAAAGATTTTCAATCTGTAAGGCATAATGGAAATAAAAATAAATCTAGCTTCTGACATTTCTGTATTTCTTTGAGCATATCAGAAAAAGACGTTTAATGTGCTTTTAGATTTGAATCTGTGTAGAGAAATAAGAACATGTGTACTTTGCTGGTGCATCCTTATTCTAGTTGGGGTTTTTTTTTTTTTTGGCGGAGCTGGGGATTGAACCCAAGGCCTTGTACGTGGAGGCAAGCACTCTATCAACTGAGCTATATGCCGAGTCCCCTTATTCTAGTTTTTAACTTGAAGTACTTATTATATACTGCTAAACAAAGATTTTATTAATGTTATCTATGGAATATAGAACACTAAAAATTTGCAGTTAGATGGTTTCTTAGGACCACCAGTGCAGAAGCAAAAAATAAAGTCAACTACTATAGCATTCTTGATGTGTTACAGAAGAATTAGAAACTCCTTAGCAGCAGGAACCTACTTTAAATTTAATGTGAACCTGTTTTAAATAATCCACATTTACAATGGTAAATCTATCATACTATTAAAAAAGTCCAAGGTGGCTATGAATTATTAATGATGAGATGATAATGATACTAAGAGGCAATTGAAATTTGCTATGAAGTCTCTTTATATTAAATACTTTGTCAATATCATTTTGGGGCAGTAAAGGGCTCAGCATTCCACAACCATTAATTAGTTTGCTGAGAACACAAGCTCTTCCAGACTGTTCTGTAAACTAAATAACTTTTCAGTTATGTTCAGTGATGAAATACTTATTTTAGTTTTTCTGTGTGCAAGGCTGGAAGAATCTAAATGCTAATCATACATGGTCCATACTCTCTAGAAACTTACATTAGAAAATTTAAGTTATCCATATAAACAATTGCTAAAACAGTAAGTACATAAGTGTGATAAGGTCCTGGAGAGTTTGTAGATGCACAACAAAGCTACTTATGGTTGGTTGTGGTATACTGAAAAGGACATGAGGAATTAAATCCCCATGGTCTAGATCACCGTTAAGTGAAAACCTGAGGATAGACAGGGTCACTACAAGTGGATGTGAGGAACATGTCAACTTTTGAAAACAATGGAAATGAATCCTCAATGGGATAAGGACAGGAATTCTTAGAATTTGGAATTTTCTTTTTCTATTAGTAGTAAGCATTCATTTTGGATTTTGAACAGGATGTGACATTGAGTATTTTTTTTTTGCATTGATTCTTTCCACAACCATTTATGATGTGCCTCCTATATACTAGGAATAGTGCCAGACATTGAATAAAAAAGATGTATAAAGATTTTCAGTGTTTTTAAAATTGAGATTAAATATGCATACTATAAAATTGAGCATCTTTTTTTTTTAAAAAAAATTTTTAGTTGTAGATGAACAGCATGCCTTTATTTTGTTTCTTTATATATGGTGCTAAGGATCAAACCCACTACCACACACATGCTAGGCAAGCACTCTGCCACTGAGCTACAGCCACAGCTCCCAAATTGAACATTTTAAACTGTATAATTTAGTGGCTTATCACCTTGGCCTGCCACTCCAAAGTGAGGCTAAAACTGTGGAGATTTATTTCTCATGTGCTAAAGATCAGAGCCCAGGCAGTTTAGTTCCTGGTGAGAACACTCTTGTAGATAGCTGTTTACTCTCTGTGTCCTCCTATGGCCTTTCCTTGGTGTATGCATGGGTGTGGGGGAGTGATCTTCTTTTTCTTTCTCTTTTTATAAGGTCACTAATCTCATCATGGGCCCCACCCCTATGATCTAATCTAATCCTAGTTACCCCCAAAGATGTTTCCAAATATCATCACATTGGTGTAGTTAAGGCTGTAACATGAATTTGGGTGTGTGGTAGGGGCTGTACATTTATTCTATAATAATGGTGTTTATTATTACTCTCAGTTGTGCTAACATCACCCCTCTCTTCTTCCAAAAGAAAATACCCTACTTACTCACTCTCCATTCTCATTCACCCCAGCCCCGGACAGCCACCAATCTGCTTTCAGTTTCTTTGGATTTAACAATGGTGGGTAGTTCATATAATTGGAATCATATAATATTTGACCTTTTGTGCCTGGCTTCTTTCACTTAGCAGAGATTCCTTTGTAAGGATCATTTACTCATTCCCTGAGTGAAGGGACTTAAAGTTTTAAGGTGTCCGAGTAAAGAAGATAGTGCTACCTCTGAAATCACCAAATGTGATCTCATGCTAGGCTAGAACTCTACCACCTAGCCACTTTCCCAGCCTCGAGAGTTTCCCTTGTCTGGGGTGGATACCAAGGAGATGTATAGGAGGCAACACAAAGGTGAATACACATTGCTGGAAACAGGAAGGGGATGGAATATTTAGAAGTGAATAAAATAAAATAGATGAAAACAAAGGTGTAAAAAGGAAAAAGAGAAAAATGATGGAATTAAAAATTTATAGAAGTGTGTCAAAGAAGGAAACAAAAAAATGGATTAGAAAAAAATATTTACTGGGCTGGGGATGTGGCTCAAGCGGTAGCGCGCTCGCCTGGCATGCGTGTGGCCTGGGTTCGATCCTCAGCACCACATACAATCAAAGATGTTGTGTCTGCCGATAACTAAAAAATAAATATTAAAAAATTTTAAAAAAAAAGAAAGAAAAAAATATTTACTGACTGTGGTCCATTTAAGAATCTGGGCAGACCAGCTTCTTCAGTGTGAACCATGCAATATTTGCTCTCTACCCCTGCTTTGAGAAGTCACCTTGTTCAAACAGGAGACAGACAGTGCAGTTATAAGCTAAGGTGAAGGAGAGACTCATAATGCAGAAGAGATGGTGGGTCACTTGCTGAAGCAGGGCATGAAGAAGGGAAAGGGAAGAGTAGCAGGAGAGGAGAGGAATTGGGTGTAATACAGAATTATTGAAAGATTTTTGTAGAAATATAGTGTGTGGCATGGATGGTAACAAAGGTTAGAGGCAACTCTTCCCTAACCTTTCTGTTTCCTGTTTGTAGTGCTCACTATAAGGGCCCAGTAAGGAAACTTAGGGAGTTCTGGATTTGGTTTGTACTGTAGATTTCAAAATGCTAGTACATTTTTTCTTTGAAAATAATGGCTTTTCCTAATTGATCTGTTCTTTCTTTTAAAGTAACATTTGAAGATAAGAAGCGGGAAAATTTTGAACGTGGCAATCTAGAACTGGAGAAACGCAGACAAGCTCTCTTGGAACAGCAGCGCAAAGAGCAAGAACGCTTGGCTCAGCTGGAGAGGGCTGAGCAGGAGAGGAAAGAGCGGGAGCGCCAGGAGCAGGAGCGCAAAAGACAACTGGAGCTGGAGAAGCAACTGGAAAAGCAACGGGAACTGGAAAGGCAGAGAGAGGAGGAGAGGAGGAAAGAGATTGAGAGGCGAGAGGTAAGCAGCTGTGGAGAACCTTGTAATTAACACATGAGCTTTGTCTTTCTCTTGTAGAATTATTCAAATGATGTATTAATGTAGGACAGTCTGTTTTCCTTTTTAAATTTTTAATTTTTGTGTGTGTGAAACACTGGGCCTCATAAATGCGAGATAAGTGTTCTACCACTATTCTATACACCCAGTCCTTCTTTCTTCCTTTTTTTTTTTTTAATATTTATTTTTTAGTTGAAGTTGGACACAATATCTTTATTTTATTTATTTTTATGTGTTGCTGAGGATCAAACCCAGGGCCTCTCACATGCTAGGCAAGCAGTCTACTGCTGAGCCACAACCCAGCTCTCTTTCTGTTTTTCTTTGAGACAGAGTCTCATTAAGTTGTCCAGATAGGCCAACTTTGAATTTGTGATCCTCTTGCCTCAATCTCCTGAGTAGCTGGGATTACAAGCATATAACCGCCCCACTAGGCTGTTGTTTTTCCTTTTAATAATCTGGAGATTGTAGTGTATTCAAAAGTTACACAACTTTCACCACTCTCTATTCTGGAGCATTTTCATCATCCCAAAAAGAAACCCCTTGCACTAAGGGGTAATTCCCCATTCCTCTTTACCCCCAGCCCCTGCAACCACTTCCTTATCTCTCTAGATTTACCTGTTCTGGAAGTTGTATAGTATATGGCCTTTTGTGTCTAGATTTCACTTTGCCTGGCATTTTCAAGGTTCATCCATATTTTAGCATGAATCAGTATTTTATCCTTTTTTATGGCTGAGTAGTATTCTGTTTTATAGATACACTACGTTTCATTTATCTACTCATAAGTTGATGAACTTTGAGTTATTTTTTTTTAGCTATTACAAATGCTAATATCAACATTCTTCTATAAGTTTTTTATTGCACTGTCTTATAACAAACTAAGAGCAGTTAGGTTTTTTTCAGATTCTTTTCTCTGTATTTACACATTTATATAAAAATGTAAAGATTTATGTGGTGGCATAGGTGGAGGTTGTATAATTTTAAACCACTTGATGTTATCAGAGCCATTGTACTGTTTTGAGACTGTCCCCCCCCCCCTAAAAATATGTCTGGGAAATCTTCATATATTCTATGGTGTCAGATATGGAAAGGGACCAAGTCAATCTCTTATTCAACTTCACAATTTTCCTATATTACTACAGAAGCAAAGCTATGATTCTTTTCACATGAATGAAATATAAAGATGAGGAATTTTTCTTTATTAAAAAAAATACTTTGGTTTCATCTATTTGGTATTGGAGATTGAAACCAATGCATTGCACAGGCCAACCATGCATTCCACTCTCCACCCCAATAAGATTTCAGTTACCAGAATGGACAATGGAAAGGCATACCACCTTCCTTTTTTAAAGTATTTATTCAGAATTGTTTAGTAGACAAATTTACTATTGCTATGCATTGCTAGCCCCTGGAGTTTCAGTGATGACTAGATGTGCCACTTGGCCTCCGGGACTTTGTTGTGTGATTGGGAGCTTGCTGAGTAAGAGGCAGTCACACTACCAACAGCAAAATCTATACAAATATTCCAAAACTGAAAACTGCCGAGACCAGAAACACTTGTGGTCCCAGCATTCTGGATAAGGAAAGCTTAACTGTAAATAATAGTTTCTCTTTTGTTGGGAAAAAAAACAAGTTTTGTTTGTTTTTAGTTCTTAGATTTAAGATTGATTTAGATTTAGAATTGTATAGGTTTAAACTTGATTTTACTAAAGAAATTTTCCTTCCTGTTTGTGAGTCTGTAAATAAAAAGGAGCACTTTTATTTAGCATGTCATGCATTCTGGAAGGCATGAAGAATGAGATTCCAATGTGAAATGATCCTCTTGGTTCTCATCTTATGTAAATATAATTTGTTCTGAATATTCCCTTTTTTTCCTTAGAAGGAGCACTGATTTTTATAAAAATTTTTATTGCTTTATGATATGATTTCTTGTAATGTCTATATTTCATCCTTAAAAGGAAAGACTTACTACATGATACTTTTGTTAAGAGACATGTTAGAGCATAAGAACTGAAAAATTAATAAACTGTGACTTTGACAGGCTGCGAAACGGGAACTTGAGAGACAACGACAACTTGAATGGGAACGGAACCGAAGGCAAGAACTTTTAAATCAAAGAAATAAAGAACAAGAGGACATAGTTGTATTGAAAGCAAAGAAAAAGACTTTGGAATTTGAATTAGAAGCTCTAGTGAGTGATATTTGATCATGCTTTGGATATATACTACTATTGAACCATTAAAAATGGTAATAATTCCTTTTATCTTTCATTTGTTAAAGAATGATAAAAAGCATCAATTAGAAGGAAAACTTCAAGATATCAGATGTCGATTAACCACCCAAAGGCAAGAAATTGAGAGTACAAACAAATCTAGAGAGTTGAGAATTGCCGAAATCACCCATTTGCAGCAACAGTTACAGGTGAGAAAACAATGTATCACAAAAGATTTTAGGCTTACATGCTTGCCTCTGATTCATTTTATTTATTTATTCATTCAACAGACAGTAAGCATCTACCATATACTAGATTTCTGGGGGAAAAAGGTGAAGTAGGTGGGGTCCTTTTCTTAAAAGTCAGCTGTCAAGTAAACAAACTCAACAAGTGTTTGCTACACGCTGTTAGGTGCTGGGCTGTCTTTTAGGTACTGAGGCTATAGTGTTGAGCAACGGAAATGAGACCGAGAGTGAGCTGAATGGACCTTACCCTCTGTGTGCAAGAGGGACACATACTAACAGAACTATAAAATTTGTATCTATGAGAAAATGAAAAGTGCAAGGACAGTAGTAGGAAGGCAGTAGAGAGTCCTGGCGGTTAGCAGTGTTGTGATTTAAACTAAGGTAGTCAGGGTAGGCCTTTTGTGAAGGTGACATTTGCACAGATTTGAAGTCTGTAATGGACTAAACTATGGCAGAACAAGTTTTAAGTAGGGATACAGCAGTGCCACCAGTGACCTGATGCTGAAGCAGGCTTCTGGGATGCCAGGTAGAGGCCAGACCATACAGGACTAGTAAATAGGTACAATTAAGATTTTAGTGGGATGTAAGAAAGATGTGTAGGGTAAGACTTGAGACTTGATAGTGTGCTAGTGGCAATTTTGCCTTCATTTACCTCTCATCTATTATCTCACCTGGTATGATAGAACTGTTATCTCACCTAGTTTGGTATCAAGCATTGAACTACAGGGGGATCAAATTCATGCAGATATTACCTGCAGATCATCATATTTGACCACAGTGACTCTTTCACTTCTTTTTCTCAGCATGATGATTTCAAGATTGATTTTTCAATGTTGTTGAGTGAATAAGAACATTGTTTCATTTTATCACTGAGTAATATTTACTAATCCCTTCACCTGTTGATTAATATCTGGGTTCTTTCCAATTGGGGATTTTCATAACTAAAACTACAATGAATATTTATGTATAGTATTTTTGTGGAATTATAACTTATTTCTCCAAGGCAAATTTTTTGGAGTGTAATTGTGCCATATAAGTCTTATCTTTAAACCCCCCTACCACAAAACTGTCAATGGTAGAAATTATGTGTACCTCTTCACATTCTAATCAGCAATCTGTGAGTGATACAGTTGTTTCCCATCCTTACCAATACTTGATGTTGTCATTATTTTAAAGTTTGACTTTTCTGGTAGGTATGCAGCAAATATATTTCATTTTTTCTTTTGTATGCATTTCCATGAAGACTGATGATGTTGGTCATCGTTTTACATGTTGCATGGTATCATTTGTGTATCTTCAAACTATCTGAACTTGCCTGTCCATTTTTGGTTGAGTTGTTTTCCTTACTACTGAATTGTAAGACTTGTATATAAATTCTTGTCAACAAGTCATTTGTTAAGTACATGATCTGCAGATATTTTCTCCCAACTTTTGGTTTGCTTCTCATTTTCATAATACTATTTTTTAAAGGACGGAAATTTTAAATTTTGATAAGGTTTAGTTTGTTAATTTATTTGTATTATCATGCTTTTTGTGTTCTAAGAAATCTTTGCCCCATGGCTGCAACATTTTCTTCTATGTTTTCCTTCAAAAGTTTTATAGTTTTACATATTTAGGTCTATAATCCATTTCACGTTGGTTTTTGCATATGGTCCTAAGTTAGAAGTTGATGTTCATTTTTTTCCGTATATACCCAGTGCCATTTATTGAAAACACTTGCCTTTCCCATTAAATTTCCATGGTAGCTTGTGGAAAAGCAGTTGCATATATTTGTAAAAGGTCTGTTCTGAACTCTTCCTTTAATCTGTATCTATCCTTTCACCATCACCTTACTCCATGGATAACTATAGCCTTATTCTGGTTTTTTGAAATCAAGTAGTTTGAGTACCCTTTTATTGTTATTCTTTTTGGAAAAAAAAATTTTGGCTATTCTAAGTCATTTCCATAAAAATTACAAAATTAGCATGTCAGTTTTGTTTGTTTTTTTTTCCTTCAAAAATACATAGAACTAAAACAATTTTTATAGAACATTGTTGCAATTCCTTTGAATTTATTGATCATTTTAGGAAGATTTAACATTTAACAAGAGTTTTATAGATTGTCTCTCAATTTATTTAGGTGGTTGTAAATTTCTTTCAGCATATTTTTTGTAGTTTTCATATTTTTGTAGTTTTATATATGTGTTTTTAAAAGTTTTCCTTAAGTATTCTGTGGTCAATGCAATTGTATATTGCCTATTTTTTACTTCAGTTTCCAACTATATAATGTCAATATATAAAAATATAATTTATTTTTTATAGTTATTTTTCTGTGTTATTGTTTTTTTTTTTTTTCTTTTCTGTGTTATTGTTTAGCTAATTTCTCAGGGTTTGTTTTTCTTTTTTGCGGTGCTGGGGATGGAACCCAGGATTGCACATATGCTAGGCAAGCAAGTGCTCAACCACTGAGCTATATTCCCAGCTCCAGTGTCTTCTTTCTTTCTTTCTTT